AATATCTTCATGTTTCTTGTGTCAAAGTTTCAATCACAATCAAATAACGTCTCATGTAATGGAATCACTTCAAAAAAAGCTACAAAACAAATGACACAACATACAATTGACAAAGTTATAAATCAGTTAGCTACACCAAATTTAGACAATTTATTGACACGTGGCTTTGGACAACTTAAACATTGCATCCACGATTATCTTAAAAATATAGAAAACTGGTCAGTAGAAGATATTGAGAGTGAAACAGTCTTGATCGAAACATTTGAGTTTGCTTATTTGGATAATGATTATGGGGTAATTATCCGTGCATCCTCTGACTATTATGGACAAGTAGCTTTCTCTGATATTAGTGTTGAAATGGATGAATCAGAACAAAATGATTATTTAACAGATAATAGTTTATGTTATGCAAAGGTATAATTAATTTAACTAAAACTGCAAGCTACTCAACCTGCTATTCGAATTATCATGTGATTATAGCAGGTTGGATTAAAGTTAATACCTGAATCTGGATTTAATCACTATCCGAATTTAATCATAAATCCAGATATATTGATTAAATTAAATCCGAATTCAGGTATTATCTCTAGGTTGGATAACAATTCAAATGACTTTTTTTTATTAAAAAAAAAAAAAAACTAATAAGATCATTATTTTTAGGTTCTTCTTATTCTTCGGCTTACATCTCTAAAATTAAATCAGAAACTAGAACTTGCCCTCGTTCATTGGTATGATTTTGCATATCCATCTGATAAGAATCACTGCTATTTTTATAAATGCGCGATTCTTAAGCATGTTGAACACTATATTTTAATACCAATTGCTTCAATTGCAAACATAGTACATATAATACCAAAGTTTAATGAAACTAGCATTTTTTTTGTAAATAGATATGTTGATTTTTTTATCAAATAACTATATATTTTGTTAATTAGATGCTTTGTATAAATCATAATTTTTTTTTTAAATTCTGTAAAATTTATAATTATAAATTTCTTAAATTTTTTGGCAAAATTTCAGAGAGTTATAACTATTTTAGATTATTTTATTTATTTGTTACTGATCATAATAAGACATAGATCATAGGAGTATTATCGTTATTATTATTTTTTTAAGGAAAATATTTTTTTCGTTTTATTGATGGTTTTTTTTGCGGTGTTTTTTACTAATAAACTTATCTTCAGTTTTCACCGTTTTTCTGGTTCATTTCTTGTGGCCTTCTAATTTTTGTCAGTCTTGCTTTCGCATTTATTGGTGACTTGCTTTTTTCTGGTTCATTGTTAAAAGTAAGTAGTTTTTTTTTTTTTGAATTACTAAAGAACCTTATTATCTTCAGGTTTTCAGCATTTTTTCTGGTGAATTTTCTTATAGTCTTCTAGTCTTTCTCCCAGTCTTATGGTAATTTTTTTGTTTAATAATAGTTTTTTTTTGGTCTTCCTGTATTTTACTAATTAAACTTTCTTTTCAGGTTTGCGGCATTTTCTGGTGAATTTTCTTGTAGTCTCTGGTCTTTTTCCCGATCTTCAGGTAATTTATTTGTTTTTAATGTTTTTTTTATGACTTGAAACTCTTCTTCATATCTGATACTAACTAAATACTTATTATTAGTAGTAT